ATTGAGGCAGTCGTATTATGCTCCTGTTTTGTTTTTTGTTTTGTTTTGTTTTGTTTTGTTTTGGGCACTTTCTGCCTCAGATAAATCAGATTACAAAAGTCTCTGAGATATGCTGGTAGAAAAGCAGGGCACAAACCAAATTCTGCCTTAACTTTTAATCTCCTTGCTGTTCTAAATTTAATATTACATTACTTCTCTTGGGAAACTTCCAGGTAGTTTCATCCCCAATTTTGCACTAACTCAGAGAGTTTACAGTCTAATGATGTCTGCTCTCTGGATCTGCAGCTTTTAAACAGATTTGAATCCACCATTTAAGTCTACAGTTAAAAGATGTGGCCACAATGCCTATAGGACACACCGAACACATACATCCTTCCCGTCTCCCCTGCGGCAACAGCAGTTGCCTAGTAGGCATGATTACCAGCCCTGCAAATGTTCCTGATTCAGTTACTGATAATGATAACAGAGTTATAGAAAACACTGATAAGTAAAAAGGGCTGTAAAAAATGTTGGTCTCTCTCAGAACAGAAATGGCAGTAATTCATTTTCTCTCAAATGGGAAAAGATTGAGACCTGATTCTCAAAAGCATGTGCTGAAAACAACACATGCATCTTCTTGTCCACTTATATCATCAGTAAGGAGAGTGTCTGCAGGAGAGAAATTTCCTCCTACACAGCTCACAGAATTTGCTCTGGGCTCTTCTCAGAGCATTTTTCTCTCACAATGCTTGATCCTGCACTTCAGAAGTGCCATTTACTTGCACAGAGACAAAGCCATCGTAATAACAGGACTACCTCCTTTGAGAGCCACATTTTCAAGAAGGAAAAAAGAAGGCAGCAATCAGTGAGCTGGAACTCTGACTCACAGGGAAATAGTGGTCACTGCCCCTTCTATGACCTACAATCACACTAAACATGAAAATAAATGACTAAATAGAACATCTATTGCAGTAATACTGGAGATATGATATATGATATCCTTTTATGCTAAGGATGGAAGTTACAAAACACCTGACAAATAAATTAATTCACATAAGCAAATTGATTTTATCCCTGTTAAATAACTCACCTAGTTTAACTGTAATGTAACAAAATAAATATATTTAATTACAATACATTTGTACCAAGTTTGATTGAGCCTCTTAATTTATATGCACCATATGTATGAGAATGGATATATGGAAACCAGATACATTTTAAATATTTCTATGTCTTTTTGCAGTTTTGGAAACTTCACAATGGTCAAATGAAACAAGAAATAACAAGTGCTTTGACTTCCTCTTCGGTTTTTGATGTAGGAGGAGTTTTATTTATAAGATTGCTGACATGCCGATCCTTAGTGAGATGTGGGTTTTGAATATAGTTTTGATAATGAGCTGCTTCTTGTAAAATTATGCTGGTAGTACATGACGGATGCTTGTACATGTTCTTGTAAATCAAAATAAGATGGCTAAAAATGACAAAAGATTAGGGAAACCTATCTGCATTGCTAATAATCATATTAATATCTTATAGTAACATGAACTTCTCATTACCCCTTAGAAATTTTTCTACCAAGTAGGAACATTTCACAAAAACAGTATATTTAGGGTGATCAGCTTTTCAAAATGAAAAGGTGGAACACATGTCTGCCTCCCACCCCTTCACCCCCCCCCCCCCCCCCCCCCCCCCATTGGGCGGCATGGCCGGAGCAGAGCCTGTGGGGGTGGGGAGGATGTGGGCTGCCTGCTGCTGGGCTCAGGGCTGCCCACCCTGCTGCCCTCCCCTGAGGGCTTCTACAGGCCAGCAGCCAGGACCCAGCACAGGAGGGCAGAGATGCTCAGTGCTGCTGCTGCTACCACCACCAGGAGCCCCATACCAGCCAAGGTGTACCCTGCCCACCTGGAGGCAGTGGGGGCAGCAGTGGTGGTGCGGAGTTGTGCCCCCTTCTGCTGCTAAAAGGGCAAAGGGTGCCTCATCATGGCAGCATGGCTGGTGTGGGGCTCCCAGTGGTGGCAGCAGCAGCACCAAGCGTCCTCACCCCACTCCAGGTCCTTCCCACTGGGTCATAGAAGCCCCATGGGGAGGGCAGTAGTGCAGGGAGCCCTGAGCCCTACAGTGGAAAGCCCGCATCCTCTCCCACCCTGCATACAAATCTTGGGGGCACGTCCCCCCATGCCTCTTCCCCAGCAGTGCATAGAGAGGTGGGGAACCAGCCCCCCTGTGCCTCCCAGACAAGCCACCTATGGCTCCATCCCACTTCCCCAGCTAGGCCTTGTGGCTGTGCATTCCCACCCTGGCCCTGGGCCCCAGGCCCCACATACCCCTTGGCTGGGCAGTATCCCCAGGCCCACTCCCTCCCTCACCATGGAGGCCTCAATCTGTGCCCCCCCCCCCCCCCCCCCTCCATAATCCTTCCCCTCTTAGATTTACCTGCAGGCAGCTGGGGGATCTGCTCTCCATTGTATTGTTGGCCATGTGCACGTGTATGCACACACACATGCACATGGTATCCCCTGCATCCTGCTTCCCCCAGCTCCAAGCAGGCCCTTGCAGGCTGGAACTCTGCCAGCCTGCAAGGGTAAACCATGGTTTCCCAAGTTTTTCTCCTTCAAAGGAGTAAATCTGTGTTTTTCCATGGAGAAAGGAAACCCCAGATCCCTGCACATGATACTGAGATGATAGATGACTGTGGCGAGGGGAATCTGGGACAAATGCTGTCCCAGTCATTCAGTCCGGGACCAGGACTTTATGTTTATATTTCAGGACTGTCCTGCCCAATTAGGGATGGGCAGTTACCTTAAGTATACTAAAAGCAACTACTTTTCCTGAAAAGCAGTACACAGCTTAATAATCAAACCTCATGGCCACTAAACAGGGCAGAGCAACTCTGGTGTTTTTATAGGACAATTCAAAATATTCCATGTGGTGTTTTTTTTCTGACTGATGCTCATAGCTAAGAGGAAGATGACTATGTCTGATGTTATTGCTGGAACATCTTTTCTGTTTACTATGGTAACTTGTCTAGAACTTCCACACTTCATCCTGCATTATAGAATCCTTCTCCTTTATGACTCAGTATTTATTAATTTTCACAAGAACTAGAGGCTCAGTTTAAATTGAGATAGAGAAAGGTATGTTATAACCTTCTGTTTATTCAAAGAACAGGAACAGTATAACATAGGCAATGGCAGTGCGAGATTCCCTCCATAGACCAGTACTTGAGCCATGATGTACACAGACCAGTACTTGAGCCATGATGCCATGGCACTCTGGAATACCATGGGATTCCTTTAAGAGTGCTGCACAATATTAGCACTGTTAAGTATCTAGACACCTACACATGATTGACACTATAAATCAATTCTAGGTGGGCTCCAGTCAGCTTGAACATGAGACACAATTTAAAATTATAAATAATATGTGCAAACGATACACGTATGTTTAGACCACCTTCTTTACACAAGTGGTTCGAGTGATATACTGGGCATATCTACATGAGACATTTACTGCAGAGCTGCCTGATTAGCTCTGCAGTAAAGTCTCAGCATCTACATGTGCTAGGCCTATTAGGCTGCAGGAAACTAATCAACTCTGTCATTAGTATTTGTAAACACAAGTACTATCTTATGGCATGGTTTAGTGAACAGCAATGCATGTGTAGACACTGACCTGGCTGGTTGCCTCCTGGCTAGCCCCACACTGGAGCACCCTTGTGCCCCAGTCGGCCCCTCCACAGCACGTTGAGCTGGGTCGGAGCAGCTCCCTGGGTCCCTGCCAGCTGGGGCTGCTCTGACCCAGCTCAATCTGCTATGGTCCCAGGCACACGTGTAAACATGGTGCCTGGGAACAATAAATTCTGGCATGGTATGCATCAGAGTTTATTGCATCGCATTGATTTCATGTGTAGACGCACCCACAGAGGAACTATTTATGGGTGTGAGACAGGCAGGGTTTGGCCCTAAACATTATTTATGTTTTACCAGCTGCTTCTGATACCATATGTCTGTTAGGGTGTACATAGTCATGGGTTTGTGCAATTCATCAAGTTGTTTGGAGAGGTGTTTGGATGAAAGATGCCTAACACACTGGACAATACTGTCACATTGTTTCCTTATAGTCCCCCACTGGTCTGTCTGTATCTGCTTATTGTCTCTGGTCTCATACTTAGATTTGGTGCTGGAAGCATCTTTTGGATTTGTGTTTGTACAGCATAATGTACATAATGTAATCTCCATCCATAACTAGGCTGCTCGGTGCTATGGTAAAACACAGAAAAAAATAATTCTAGAATGGCAATGCTGCTATTGTTACAAGACTGATGTGTGGGCTCCTGTTTTGAGCAAAGGATGTAGCACTAAGAGTGACTGCGAACTCTAACTCTGGCTCTCATATTCCGGGCCACAGACTGCAAACCCTTACTCATGTGAGTAATCCATTGAAGACAGTGGTTTCCCTCTGTATAAAATGAAGACAGTGCTTACTTTATAAGTAAGGCTAAATTGTCTGATGCTTGCAAAACATGGATTTGCGTAGGAGTGAAGTATGGTGAGAAATATCTGTAACTTTTTCTTGTATATGTATGAAGTGTGTTGTTACGTGGTAAATACTAATCACAACATGCAAGAGCTAGTAATTATTTCTCAACTTACCTAATGCTAGAATTAAAAAAAAAATCACAACACAACCATAAAACTTGAGACTATCCACAGTCTGCTCTCAGCAAAATACAGCTGCCTTTGCTCTATTCTGATGTTACTGGAAGACAGGGAGAGACATGCTATACAAATTTGAAGTGTTATTAACAATTATATTACGATCACTTGTTTTTGTTACTACTTTGAGCTTTGTCTGTTATAAATACATACTTTGGAGTAGAGATAATACCAAGTCCCACATGGTTAATGTTTTGGACTGTTCAACTTTGGTCTCTTAACAGCAATGTGGATGAAATGCCATTCACAGAGATCCAGCCCCAGGGGAGGCTGGCCAAAGCCAGTTGCTTAGCCTGGGCTGGCTGTTTGTGCAGGGAAGTTGCACATTGAGGAGAGCTGGGAGGGAGGATCACAGTCCTGGAGCCAATAAAACACTCACTGAGACTACTGAACTCTGCAAAGAGTCAGAGAGAGAGAGAGAGAGGGCAAGAAAAAAGGGGAAAGAGAGATTTGGCCTTGCAAATATCACAATGAGGGAAATAGTGCACATCCAGGCTGGCCAGTGTGGAAATCAAATTGGAACAAAGGTAAGAGATCTTTCCCACCCCTAAATAGTAACGTTAACTTGCTTACTTTTTACTAAGAGCTGTATGTAGCGGCAGATACTTTACATTGCTATCACAGCTCCTGTTTAAGCTTTCAGGAGCACAATGAAATGGCTCTGAAAAGCATCATTGCCTTCATGTGTTTTTTTTTCTTGAGAAACTCCAGGATAATTGGCAATTTCACTCATTGCTCTCCATGCCACGTTGGAGAATGTTTCTCTTACAACAAAATAGGCTCTGACCTCTCTTGAGATCTGTGCATGTAGACTAGGCAGCTGGAAAACTAGCAAATAGGGAACGAAAAAACTCATCTCCTTCATGTGACCATAAAAGGCTTTGGAAAAAAATTAGAATGAAGGAGGAAAAAATGACTGGGGACAGTGGATCAAAAGAACAAAAAAGGCAGCAAAAATAAAAACAACCGACAAATAGCCATCAAAAAATCCGGCGGAGTCCCAATCGTTTGTATGGTTGGTTTGAAATCCTGGTGCCTGTCTGCTTGGCTTTGTCTCTCCCCAACCCCACCCCATCTCCTCGCTGCTGTTCAGGCCAGGGGTAGGGAGGGGCTCAGAGGAGCAGTTCTCAGACATGCCAAGAATTTGGCAGCTGTTACTGCAACACATGCCTCCAAGGGCTGCCCTGTCCCTGCCAGGATTTGGATAATATGACGTCTCTGAAAGAGATGTGTATTGCTTTAGCAAAACTGAATCTAGTGGTTGTGTTTTAACCAAGCTTCTCCCACTTTTTCTTTCCCCCCCTAAAGTTTTGGGAAGTGATCAGTGATGAGCATGGCATTGACCCAGCGGGAGGTTACATCGGTGACTCAGCATTGCAGCTGGAGAGAATCAATGTCTACTATAATGAATCATCTTGTAAGTGTATGGCGGCAGCTGCCTGAGGAGAAGTCACAAGGGGAGAAAGACGGGCCCTCCCTTAATGGGAGGAGGCATGTGAAGATAGCAAAGGCTTACTCATAGCTTCAGCTACAGACTTGATGAGACATGTGTGCATGGTTTTATTTGGAATCCATCATCTGCAGTTACTTTCTCTCTCAGCAGAGGGGAATGGTACAGGACAGCTACAAAACTATCAGTTATGGGGATTTTTTTGTTTTTTAGTTTGTGATAGATATTGTCTTGTAAGATGCGATTAATTCAAGTAAACGTGCCTCAGCAGTTGGCTGATGCTAACCAGTCCATTTTGCAATTGTACATTCATAGTCCATTGACTATGATTTCAGAAGCTATTAGAGTTGAGCCTTTCTTTGCTGGGAGGATCAGTGGTGATTCAGTGAAGCAGTAGCATCCCTGAATATTGTGTCCCAGAACGGCTGGTGTGGAAGGTGCTGTGCTGCTGAGGGAGTTTCCCCCAGTACGATCTGTAAAACTGCAAACAAGACTCCCTGTGCACATTCAAGACACTTTTAGTAAGTGTGGAAGTGTCACTGTGTCCTGGACAACTTCCAGCTTAGGGCATTCAGTTTGTCTGCATGAATCTATGATCTAATTTTGAGTGGAAAAGGCATTCTTTGCTTCCTGTTATTAATTGTTATGTAGCAATGAAGCACACTGTTTTCCACCTCTTAAACTAGCTCCATTTCAGTCAAGGAAGGAAAAGATTCCTTAAAGTATAAATTTGCAAAGCATTTTAAGATCATTTGAATGAAGGCCCCTTCATACGATTGTATACAATTACAGCTGCTTACCAAGAACATGCAACTCATTTTGCCACAAAGTTGTCTCTCTGGAAGCCAACTGGTAAAAAGCTGTTTTAAAATACAGTTTAGGACAGTGCATATGACTGAAAACCCCAAAATTATTTAAATCAGCTAGCTAATCACAATAATTTCTTCTGTAATGCTTGAGAGGAAAGATTCCTATTTAGGAAGATGAAAGCTGTATAAAGATACACAAGCAAGCTAAACAGCCTAAAATGAAATATAGTTTGTTCATATATTACACTAAGAAATATAATAGAAGAAATTAGCCTATTTTCATATGCTAAGAATGTATTGACTTTTTATTGTAGCCCAGAAATTTGTACCCAGAGCAGTTTTAGTGGACTTGGAACCAGGAACCATGGATAGCGTGCGATCAGGTCCATTTGGTCAACTCTTTCGACCCGATAATTTCATCTTCGGTATGTGACTATCATCCTTGCTTTTAAAAATAGATGGTCAGTTACCAAAAAGTAACTTTTAAGTTAAAATGTACCTTGGATAAAAAGCATGAGAGCTGGGCTGTTTCCTCTACCCCGAGCAGCTGTAAGCAATCATTACTAACAAAAATTGAGAATCTAATGACACAATTCAAACTAACGAAAAAAATAACTTTTATCCAAAATAGGGTCAAACACCACTCTGTTAATTTAACTGAAAATCCCCTCAATTGCACATATTTACTAAACATTCTCTGTGATATTCTGCTAATCTACACCATGCAATATCTATTTCATGTAAAGAAAAAATCCTGAGGGCCTCTATAATTTAATTAAGAAAAAATAGGGAATGAAAGACCTACACTCGCTTACATAATCCATTAATAGTTGGATACCAATGAGAAACTGAGGAAAACAAATGACAAAGTACAGAACAGATTGTCATATACAGTCTAGCACTAGGATGGTTGTTTTCCAGTAAAATTAGGAACTAACTTAAAACCAAACAGAACTGAAAGCAAATGGGGAGTTTCCATCCCATGTTGTTCTTTTTCCAGGATGCAAAAGTAGACCACAGATCCAAGCAATGGGAACTTTGGAAAAGCTAGTTTCTGAATTTCCATTATACAGCTGTGCTCTCAGACCAGACCAACCCCCTGAAAATTAATTCACCTACGCACTGGAATCAGAACTTTGCAGACAGCACCCACCTCTAAATACAGCCAAATGAGTAGAAAGTCTCTCTTGAACAATAGGTTGCTGTACTGTACTCTCTTCCTGCCAAGCAAACAATGAGCTAATGCCACATGATTAAGTGGTGTCTGACGCTGAGTCTACAGCCAGCATCAGGCACTTTCCTCCAAATCTGCTGAATAATGCAGAATGGCTGCCTTTGAGCTCAAGCAATAATCTATTATGTCAGAAGCCAACAAAGCCTTTCGTTTTCCCTGTGTTATATCTGTTCCAAACAAAAGACTTTGTGGCAACAGCTGATAATTCCATACTTGCCATATTCCAAACCACTGAGACTTACGCTGATAGGGAGAGATTTCAAGCATTTTTTTTTGCCCTCCCCACTGAAGTCCATATCAAAATAGGTCACAGTTTAGGTGTATTAAATACCTTTAATTTTCTTGAACATATGGGGCCTAGTCCTGCTGTCTTCCCACACTTTCCAGTAAGATCAAGGAGAAATTTTGCATGTGCAAGAAATAAGCAATCAGGATCTTAATTGCAGCTTTCATTAACAAGCTAACTGACCTAAAGGAAAGCTTCCTAGGAACTCTCCTGCTGTTTGTTTTTCTTGCTGTGCTCCTGTTTCCTAAGCTCAGGGTGGATGTGGATCACACCCACTTTGGCTATGTCACATTCAGGAAAGCTCAATGGTCTGCAAACACATGCTGCACCAAATTCACTAAATATAATTAGAAGTGGATTTATTCAAATGGAAGCAACCATTTCCCTACTTCCCTTATTTAAATGGAAGCAACCATTCTTCCATCAGCCAAAATGTGCTCAGTATTGATTTAGCTTAAGTCAATTCCCTACCAGTTTAAAAGTGAACATACAATGGGGATTCCCTGATTTATTTTAGATTGTACAATCCTTGGGACTAGGATCATCTATTTGTTCTGTGTTTGTACAGTTCCAAAGCCAATGAGGTGTTGGGTGCATGAGTAGGACTTCAAGGAATGCAAATATTACAATACATATAATAAATTAATAAACAAGTAGTGTTTGTATTTAAAGTTACATCAGTGTCACTTTTAATTGTTTTAAAATTAGATTAATAAAACGGGCAAAATGCCATGAGTAATCTTAATTCAATTTAAGCCAAGTTTACATCAAACTGGAAATAGTCAGGGTAAGCAACATTAATATGAGCAAGGTTTAAACAGAATCCAAAGTATCTACAGAAGTCACACAGCTATGAAAGCCCCCCCAAAGTCTTAAATTTACTTCCGAATTTATCTTGTATAGTTTCCCCATCAATAAAATGAAGAGGCATTGATGTTATGAAGATTTGGTATTAGCTGGGAAACCTTAATTTGGCTGTCATCACAGGCACTTTCTTCCATGGGAAGCCTGCCTGATTCTGTGCACAAAATAAACCATCTCAGGGGGTACACAGGGATTGTGCAAGATCTACAGAATTCCTCCCTCATTTGTTGCAAAAATCAAAAGTAGAGAATGAGACTGGAGATTGTAGGAAGAGAAAGCATGGCCTTGTGGTCTGAAAACGGGATTCTATCCCTGCCTCTGCCAGAGGCTCCATTGTGATTCTAAATATGAAACGTTCTTCACAGCTGGTTGCTAATTACACGTCTGTAATTTTTTTGAGCATCTGACTTGAGACTTTGGAGTCTAATTTGCACACATGCTGAGCACTGGCAGTTGCAACTTAATGCAGTAGGAGCTCTGATAGGATTTATAATGCTAAGGCTTATGTATCTAAGATAGAATACCTAATGATAGTGAACCTTGTCTGCCAATGCTAGCGAATACTTTTAACCTCAATCCCTCTATGCCTCAGTTCCCTGTCTGTAAAATGGGGGCATTAATGCCCACTCACCATACAGAGGTGATATGAAAACAACTCCATTAATGCTGGTTAGCACATTGATACTATAGTGCAATGGCTCCCAACCTCAGGGTGCAGCCCAAATCAGGGTCATGGGGGTCCGCCCCTTACTCCGTCCCTTCTGCTTGTGGGGCTTTCCTGGTGCACAGTCCATGCAGCTCTTGCCACCGCTGCCCCCTGCAATCCCGGCCCAGCCCAGGCTCTGTTGGTGCTGCCGGGCATGAGTGAGTTGGTGGTGGGGCCAGGGATCGCAACCTGGATTTAGGGCGCAGCAAAAATGGTTGGGAGCCACTGCTATAGTGAATAGAGTGACAGCATGCTACAGGGAGCACCACAGAAAAGCCTGTAAAGAAATTAATACTTCTGCCCTGAGGGAAGGATTTGAATAGCATACAGTGTATAAGGCACTGGATCACACATTGAATAAATAGCTGAAAGTCAAAGGTTCACCCAATCCTAACAGCCCATAGCACGAGGCAAGGGCAGATCAAGGGGGAAGGGGGGTGCACTTGCACTCCCCTTTGAATCCTGCTCTGCCCAGAGCTTAAAGGCAACTATCTGGCAGTGGCAGCAGCACTTCTAATCAGGGAGCAGTGAGCAAGTCAATGAACTTCATTGGAAGACCTACCTTATAAATCAACCTGATTCCTTATAAACTCTTCATTCCACAGGTGTTAATAACCCTCTCCTTTTTAATGGTTCTACTACTCAAACCATCCTTTCTTCTGGAATTCTTTCTGTTAGTTGCTCCTGACAATGTAGCTCCTAGTCTACAGCTCTGCAGACTGTATTTAACTCTAGCTAGAAACATTAAGTCAGGTGTGGAAATTTTTACTCAGGTGTGAAAACTTTCAGAGAAGCACTGGGTGCACTGTCAAGATGCTCAAGAAGGCTTGATTTTGTTTTCTGAATCTGAAAGAGATGTACGTTTAATTCTAATGACTACAGGACTAATGAAACAACAAAACAAAGCCTTTTGAGTATTTTTGTCTAGTTAGTTGTATTGTTATACATAATATATGATATGACAAAATAATGTACATTCCAACAAAGTTATATTTATTTTTGCTTCAATCGAACTGCAAAAGGTAGACCTAGGCCCCCAGCATATTAGTAATGCTTCTAGGTTTTCTTTAACTAGAGAAAAATGTGTGTTGTATTATATGTGATGAGGTACCACACCATCTGCATCTCCCTTTCCAAAATCCTAGATCTGCCCCAGGGGTTAGGTGATTAATGCATGCTAGATAGTATAACTAATAGCACACATGGGATATGTGCTAATATCATATCCATTTCCAGCTTGAATGATCATGTATTCATTTAGAGCTGGGTTGATTAGGAGGAGGATTTTGCATGAATCAAGAATGGGCCTTGAACTCATAGGTTTAGAATTGTAGCAAAAGAGGCCTATACCCTGGCCACATACTGAACAATCACCATAAAGTAAAACAGAATAGCGGTTTAGTGTGTGTATACTGAATGAGATAAGAATCCTGGAAAGATTCATTCTCATTCCCATTCTCACCACCTATCCAGCCCCCGGTGCCTTCTCCCTAAGTCTTCCATCAAACCTCCAGTCTCTTTATTCAGTCAGAATAAGATTCCCATTCTGGGCTCACTTGCCTCTCTTGACCCAATAATATTCTGCTGCAATCCTTTTGCTTGTGAGAAGTACTTCTCTTCCTGTGCCCATTTTACCTTCATCAGCCCTTCATCTCCAGTCTTCTTGTCCAGACAATCTTAGTTTCACAGAGAAGTAAGGCTGAAAGGGACCTCAAGAGAAGAGCTCACCTAGTTTAAGCAGGGATCAAACCTGCAACTGCGGTGTTATTAGCACCGTGTTTTAACCAACCAAGTTACTGCTTTTTCTCTCCCTAGATCCTTGTATAGTTCAGTGCACCCCATCTTCTTGTCTAACCAGTCACAGTCAGAGTAAACAGACTCCTCCAAATCTAGTCCTTTTCCTTCTCCTGGATGTGGCTTTTGCCTCCTCTGCATTTTTATCAATTGGCTTCCTGTTGCATATTGTCTGGGTGCTTGTATTAGGACATGGAACACAAGAGGGGGCTCCTTTTTCTCAGTTGCTAGACCCAGAGGCATCCTAGCCTGATAATGGCATGTGCAGTCAGCACTGAGTCCTGTGCAAGATGGAGCATGCTTAGGGAGGATGGAGTATTTGGTAGTTTTAGTTAGTAGAATCAGATGAGTCTCTACTGAGTGTATATGAACTGCAGTTTTCAAAAGCCAAATATGGGTGGATTTTCATAAAAGCCACATCCCTGACACAAAGGCCATTCCCAGCCAAATTGCAAGTCCCCGTTCCAAAGCACAGGACAGTACAACTTAAAAAGTTGTACAACTTAAAACACCATGTGGCTGGGATTTAACATGGGCAAAACAATTTATTTTCCTTTTCTCTTAAAACAGGGCATCCAAAACAAACAAACAAAAAATCCAGCATGGGGCAGGCAAATATCTAGTATCAAAAACTTCAGCTCAGACAGTTTAAGTTTCATCATGTTATAATCAACTGATAATGGAAAATCCTGAGCACATATAACAATCGGCAGTTCTACCAGGCCTACTTTTACTACTGTTTTTGTTTCACCAGTTGGACTTTAGATCTAGCAGAAATATTTGCTGTAAATTACAATTTAAAGAAAGTCTGCATCAGTAAACTTATGGCCATCTACCAGAGCTTTTCAAACTGCAAGCTTTTGCAGTCTTTCATTTTACTTAGAGATGTCACAAGCAACACAATAGATCTTTAATTAAGATATATTAATCTGGGAATTTAGAGTATTCATCATATAGCAAAACATCTTCTGAAGTCCTCATCTTTATCATTTTCTCAGGAAAAGAAATCTATAGGTAGAGCCAAACCAAATTCAATTCAAGTTACTTTATCAAATGTAAACTGTTGTCTCGCAACTTAAACAGTTTTATTTCTGCCTCCATGATGGTGGCAGAAATAATACCATGAATTACCATGTGATGATTAGTGAATGAATGATACCATGAATGGTATCATCACTAATGCCATTAAATTATACAGCTTTCTGCCACAGTTTTTTGTTTCATTTTATGGTAGATTGTTAGTTTTTCCCTCTTTATATCCCTCTCTAAATCAGCCTTTACAGGACCAGTTTCCAGTGCCTTGGATTTGTTTCCTGGCTCAATGTTATAAAATTCAATGGAAAATTTCCTGCATTTGTTTATATTATTTCATTTGAAACTGAACAACTCCCCTAATTGTGACTGAGAGGGATTCAGATCACTGCATGGTCACAAACCTAATAAACTATAATAGGTGCTCCAAAAATACCTATAATTCTCTGAATCAAAGGAGACAAAATAAGCGCAACTTTTGTGCTATTTATCTTACCACCAAACACATCCTATGCACCCACCTTGCTTTGAGAAACTTGCCTTTCCATGCTTCACATTTGTTCCCCATTAGTTTTCCATGTGTGTTTTCTACCCATTCCTATTAGAGCCAATCCCTCCTACTTCAGGGCCACTTTGCAGAGTAAGACACTGTAGTACAATCTGGTCCTTTAGTAGGATCCTACCATATGCACAGAGCATTACTTTTTGCTAGCATTCTGACTGATGTGGCTAGTCACTCTGGCTGAACAAAGGGAATTTGAAGAATATTCTGTGCTGGAGGATATTGTTTTGCATGCTAATTTGAAGTTTATTCTGTGCTGGAGGATATTGTTTTGCATGCTATGCAGCTGGACAGGAAATACAGAGCTTCCCACATACTTAAAAAGAAAAGAAAATATAGCAACACATAGAACAATGCCTTTGCTAACCCAAAACAGAACAAGGAAACTGAAGCTTGGTGTAGTAAAGATAACATATACAATATTTGAACAATACCAAACCCTGTGATGTAGGTGGTCCACAATATATACAGTGGGTCTTAAAGTGAGTCACGGAGATAAGGAAGGAGGAGAGGAGTAGATCAGAGCTTTGAAAACTGGAAACCCTGGGTGTGATTGAGTAGTACTTATAAACTGCATTTGGTGGGACTATCCAGTAAGTAGTAATTAATGTCAATGGCGTGTCAAACCTGGTCCCCTCTTACAACCTTCTACTATCAAAGCAGTAGAACACTAAAGTACACTGGGAAGGACCCGGAATAAGGAGGACTAAGGGTGTTACAAGATTCCAAAGCAAGTAGTCAGCTTTATTGCTACATCTGCTTTGTAGAAGGCAAAAATAAAGGGCCAAAATTATCAGTGAATAATGAAAACTACTCATAAGAACAGACCGAAATAAACAGATTAAGTTTTTCCAAAAATTTACGGAGCTCAAGCTGTCCAGTTGTCTCTCAGATGTAGGGACACAAGCTCCATAGATTTTACAGTCACTTACGCCAGTGTAATGTAAGACTAACTCGGTGCATCTACAAATGAAATTAGCATGTGGCAATAAACTCCAGTGCAGTTAGCACTGGAATTTATTGCTCCCAGACACAGTGTTTACATATGCACCCAGGACCGCAGCATGTTGAGCCACAGCAGAGGAGCCATGGCTGGGGGGGGGCCTGTCACCCCAGAGCTGTTCCACCCCAGCTCAACATGCTGCGGAGGAGCTGGCTGGGGCATGAGGGTGCTCCCATGCAGGGCTACCCTGCAGGCAGGCCCCCATGCTGTAGCACCCTTGTGCCCCACCCAACTCCAGTCACCGTCTACATATGCATTTCAGCACACTAAATAACTCCGCCATAGGATAGTACTTGTTCTGGAAAGTACTATTTTACAGCAGAGTTAATTAATTTACTGTGCCCTAATAGGGGTGCAAGTGTAGACAGTGATGTTTTACTGTGGAGCTTATTAGTCAACTCCACAGTAAAGCACACATGTAGATGCACCCACAGCATAAAAACACCCTGTTCAGGATGACTGAAGTGTTGCATCTCGTGCATTCATTTACACATGTCCAAAGCGAGTGAAGATAAAAAGCCAAGAACCGAGTGAGCATGGAAACTGAAGCGCTCTTCAGTGTAAAACATGCTCACTCATGTAGACTCCCTCAAACTTTAAAATGGGCCACCCACACTAGGGATGAAGTAACTTTGATCAGGCAGCACAAGCAACTTGCCCTAACACTGCCCAGGCTGCAATTTGTTGCCAGATAAATAAAGAGATATTATTTTTGAGCGTATAACTTGGTTTCTGTAAAGATTTCAAAGCATGCTTGAAAGTGAAAATTCTTAGAAACACTCGTAAATGAAAGAGAAACTGCTAGCTAAGTGTAACACATGAAACGATAGCTCACACACTTACAACTCGTTGTATATATGTGATTTGAAGCCATTACACCTCTAAGCTTAAGAGTGGTGCAGCACATTGACCTGTGAACTGCTTGCAAACTGCCCTGTTTGCTCTCCCATGCTTACTTCATAAGAAGGTACTTATGATGGTTTAGCACCTATCAATAACTTTTATATTTTCTTTCCTTATCCTATGTTATTTCAGGACAAACAGGTGCAGGAAATAATTGGGCCAAAGGACATTATACAGAAGGAGCAGAACTGGTAGATTCAGTGCTCGATGTAGTAAGAAAAGAATGTGAACACTGTGATTGCTTGCAAGGATTTCAGCTCACTCATTCCCTTGGAGGAGGAACAGGTTCTGGCATGGGAACGCTACTCATCAGCAAAATCCGAGAAGAATATCCAGATAGGATAATGAATACATTTAGCGTCATGCCTTCTCCAAAAGTCTCTGACACAGTGGTAGAGCCTTATAATGCCACGCTCTCAGTCCACCAGCTGGTTGAAAATACGGATGAAACTTACTGCATCGATAACGAAGCTTTGTATGACATCTGCTTCCGCACCTTGAAGCTTACCACCCCTACATACGGAGATTTAAACCACTTGGTGTCTGCTACAATGAGTGGAGTTACTACATCGTTGCGTTTTCCAGGCCAGCTGAATGCTGATCTTCGGAAGCTGGCAGTAAACATGGTCCCATTCCCACGCCTTCACTTTTTCATGCCAGGCTTTGCTCCTTTGACAGCCCGGGGTAGCCAGCAATACCGAGCACTCACAGTTCCGGAGCTCACTCAACAGATGTTTGATGCTAAGAACATGATGGCAGCCTGTGACCCAAGACATGGACGATATTTGACAGTGGCCACAGTCTTCCGAGGTCCCATGTCCATGAAAGAGGTTGATGAGCAGATGCTGGCCATCCAAAATAAGAACAGCAGCTACTTTGTGGAGTGGATCCCAAATAACGTAAAAGTGGCTGTTTGTGACATCCCACCCCGTGGCCTCAAGATGGCCTCTACCTTCATTGGTAACAGCACAGCTATTCAAGAGCTTTTCAAAAGGATCTCTGAGCAGTTTTCTGCCATGTTTAGGAGAAAAGCCTTCCTCCACTGGTTTACAGGAGAAGGAATGGATGAAATGGAATTTACAGAAGCAGAAAGCAACATGAATGACCTGGTTTCGGAATACCAGCAGTACCAAGAAGCTGCAGCAAATGATGGAGAGGAAGCATTTGAAGATGACGAGGAAGAAATCAATTAATAAAACCAATTATCTTATAGCAGGCCAAAATTCTTATATCTGGATTTCTAAAATTAGGTTTAAAAACCCATATTTAGGTTCCAAAAGAAAAATGAAAATGTAGTTGATGAGTGTGTGCCCATTTAGATTCTGCTAACTTAAGCAGGACCTGCAAAAGCTTAGCACCTCTGAAACTCAGGCCATTTCTATTTAGGAGCTTAATTTTAGGTGCCTGATTTTAGAATTTTGGCATAAGAATCTGTCCAAGGAAATCACTAGATTTCTTCAAATAAGCAAAACTCTTTCACAGAAAGTTGTACAAGAGGCAGAAGGGGAATGGGTATACATTTGGGAAAAAGGCTGAACTGTTTTAATCAAACTGAGAACAGCAAAAACTGGTGGATCTTCAAAGTGTAAAAATACGGCACTGAATGTACAGTACTGAACTTCCAAGAGCTAAAATCTATTAATACAGAGAAAGAAATGTTTTATCCATGTTCAACTCTTTACATAGTAAATCTTGATACTAATATTTGACTTCAGACATTTAACAGCAAAACTAAATAAAAATAAGTATCCTCTCAATACCAGTGTTTTGACCCATCAATACCTAATATACTTAGAGTGAACTGAGGAAAAAATGTTCACTAGAAATGTTTTCAAGAACTGTAATGCCTATGTACTCTCAGAACTTTACCAACTTGTCCCAGGATATTCACACCATGTATACATGCAACCTATGCACTACATGACAGATCTTGTGCAGGCTCTCCAATCATATGCTTGAATCTAAAGGATTTAAGATAGTAAGAGGGAGGGATGCATACAAACTAATTATTGTGACTTACATTCTATAAAATGGATTTATATTTCAGATACTTTGGAACAACTCCATGCAAAGGAAGAACAAAGCACCTCAAGAAACCCAAACTTTAAAAGCATCAGGAATCTTTTGATCCCTTCTTTCTCCCTCTCAAAATACTGCTTGAGTCAATGTAGTACAGTTGAATTTTACTAACACTCTTGAATAATTTTACTAACCCTTTAATAATTTAATTTTGTTCCAATGGACTTCACCTATTATACTATAACAGTCTATTTGGGAATCAAGGAATTGGACAGAATGTTTCAAAGTATATGAGAAATAATTGTATTTTGGTTACAAGCCAATGTTGTCTGCATAGTTTTAGCCCAATAACATCTATATTAACTTAATTCTAATTGTAGGTTTTCTGTAGAATGTGACTGTGGATTGAAGGTACCGATTGACTTCACTCTGACACAGGTGTATACCCAGACATGCCACCAGGAGGCTGGATGGATGAGCTTTGAGAGTTGCATATAAATTCACAGGGGCTGTCTGGAATGACCAGTTATACAAAAAGGAATTATTACATAGAAAGAGATCACAGTAAAAAAATAGTAAATTGTGGGATACATTGTAATTGTGTATTGGAGTGTGTACAAAAAAATGAGAGAAAATTCCAAACGTGAATGAACAATTAACACCCAATTGTGTACAAAACAACCACCACAGAAAGGGGGGACTTGCTAACAAACAAGTTCACTGGTGTCCCACACATGACAGGCTATTAGCACCAAGGAAAAGAGGACAAACTTATTGTATTCTTTAGCTAATCAGAAGAAAAGCCTGCTACTGTACTTACTTGTAAGATATGTTGCTATAGCAGGGGTGGGCAATTATTTCGTCTGGAAGGCCACTTAATGCGTTTTAGTGAGCTGTCAGGGGCTGCAAGGGTAGCCTTATCCCTTGACAGGTGCCCCATCCCTTGGTTGCCATGTTGGGGCCAGAAGTCCCACCTCTGACCTTTGCCACCGGACGTCCCTCCCCTTGCCTCGGAAGTACTCCATGGGGGGGGGGGGGGGGGGTGTCATCTTGGAACTGGAGTGGGGAAAATCATTTACTAAAAAAATCAAACATCGACTATATTATTTTAAAAAAATATTTTTGTCCCTATTTATGTGCATTTGTGTAGTATATATAGAAATGATTGCATAATAGCTCAAAATACAGTCTTACTCTTGCATATTGTGTGTGTGGGTTGAAGGGTGTGTGTGGGGGGGGTTGGGGAGTGATGTGTGTGTGGGGTGTGGGTATGGGGGGTGGGAGGGTGTGGGATGTGTGGGTTGTGGGAATGTGTGTGGGTGCTGTGGGGTTTGTAGGGTGGGGCATTCCTTGGAGTCCCCAGTGCGCAAGTCCCCAGAACCTGCAGGTGGTGGCAGCAAGTGGGGCCAGCTCCGCCCAGCCCTATAGCGCACAGCTCCCTGCGCTCCTGCCCGAGTCCCTGACTGCAGTGTGCAGGACCAGCCCCACCCAGCCCCATAACATGCAGTTCCTGTGCTCCCGCCCGAGTCTCCAGCCCCACATGGTGGCAGCATGTGGTGCTGGCCTCACAGTGCTCCAGCCCAAGTCCCCGGCTGCACGTGGCAGCAGGATGCAGGGGCAGCGCCACCCGGCCCCGTAGCATGCAGCTCCCGCCTGAGTCCTCGGGACCAGCGTGTGGGACCAGCCTGGCCAGCCCCATACCACACAGCTCCCTGTGCTCCCGGCCCCATTTCCCTCAACAGGAGTCCCTGGCCCTCGGCCTGGTAGGGTCCTTACCTGAATTCCCACTCTTGTAAGGAAGTAGGGCTGGGAAACAGGCACCAGGAGGCCAGGCAACAGCCTCTGCCAGGCAGAAGCTTCTCATCTCTAGCAACCCCTGCCTTGTGGCTGAGGCCTGTCAGGCCAGGCTGGGGTGGGGCTGGTTGCTTAGCAACTGAAGCTGTACCTCCTGCATGGAGGCACCAGCTTTCAGAGGGCAGCTGAGGGCCAGGGCCCGTGATCTTTCTTTTAGCTTACAGAGGGGCCCTGCAGGCTGGCTGGAATCACCTGGTGAGCCAGATCCAGCCTGCAGGCCATATTTTGCCACCCCTTTGCTATAGGAACTAGAATAACAGCAAGCATAACTGTGCTTAGATAGAAATGTCATATTTGCCTTGCATAGCTTGGATGGGATCTTGAAGCTGCCTGTTATATTACTTATAGTACAGCCAATTGCACGTGAATTGTAATGAAGAGCTATGACAGGTTGAAGCTCAGTCATAGCTGCCTCCATTGAAACACGCCCAGAAATTTTTCTCTAAACACACCAAATAACGGATGGGCTAACAGACATTTCTGCACTCATCAAGTGATTGTTAGGACATTCTGTGTTACTGTCTGCACCCAGAATTAATGCCCAGAGGCCAGAGTGTGAAGTCCCATCAAATCTTGTGATTGTTTCTCCTCGTTGTTCAGACATGCTCCTCTGGCTGCAGCTGTATGGAGCTTCAGGAAGAACTTACCATGCTTTCTTCCTAAAAGGGTCATCTTTCCTCTTCCCCCTTCTTCAGTAGGTGATCTGATTTTAAGTGAAAGACTCAGGTGCTCTGCAGTTGGAAAGTGCAAAGGATCCAGTCTGAATGAAGGTGGTCAAAAAACTTGCATGGGAGGGGACAGAGAATGAAGTAGGTCTACTCTTTCCTCCCCCTACTCAACCTACCCCTTCAAGTCCTCTCCCTCACTTGCAGTTAAAACCAACGCCCTGCATCAGAAAGGGCCTGGGTTGGTGGAGGCGTTGCTGTTTTCTTTCATTCCCACTTCACTAGCAAATCCAGGATTTGGGGTTTGAAAACATACAGAACAGATCCTAGTCCTACCTTGTTCTGCTTTTCCTCTCCAGACTTTCTACCCCCACCAGGTTCCCCGTTTATCTGTCCTTCCCCGCTTTCCTTCACTCTCCCCTCCTTCCACTCACTCACCCACTCACTCCTGTCCTCCTTCCCTCAGCTCAGCACTTGTGTGCCTGCCATGACCTCGTACTCACCTCTGGTGTGGGAGATCTGCCCAGAAACATGGTGTCAGGCAAGGCCAAGCCAAGAGCTGCTCATGGGCTCACAGCTCCTAGGACTGCCTGCAGCCAAAGTGCCTCTACCCTAACTTGCAGGAAGAACAAGGTTGGGGAAGCAGGCTGCCAGGGGCTGCGTGGAGCAGGGAGAGGAGAACAGGTCTCTAGGTACATATTCCCATCCAGGCTGCAAGGGATGCAGCTGTCCAGAGCACCACACAACGTCCCCAGGACAAAGCAGAGGAGCTGGCACCACCTGTGTGTAGGATGATCCCTCACACTTGGCTGTGCCCTCACAATCCCAGTTCCTTTTCCCTTCCCTGCCCCCCTCCTCCTGGGCCTCTCCACTCCCAGACTCTCAAGGTGGAGGTGAGAACTGTACCAACCCTGCTTTACCCTCCTAGAGGCTAAATTGAGCTGGTGTCACTAGACTTTTCTCCACCCACAGGCCACTCCCAGCTTTGCACTGGTCACCATCCACTACACAAGCTCCCCACTGCTGCCTTCATGTGCACTTCATTTAATCTTTGCCTTCTGTTCCATGTTTAGGATTTCCTGATTTCACATAGGAAAGGGGCAGGCAGGGTGAGACAGCCCTGTCTTTGCTTTGAATGTCTCAGGTTTGGCTCCAAGCATCTACTCTCCCCAATTCAATCCAATCCACACTGTTACTTGACAGTGCAGCACACCTAGATTTACCTACTAGTGAAGTCGCATTCAGGACCACATGCAACAGGATGGCAAAAGGGTATTTGCTGCTTTTTAAACATCCATTCTTAGACTACCAGTGCCACACAGTACTGTCTCGACCCACTCCTTAGAGAAATTTACTCCACATGAGGTGGAGCAGAGCAAGGTTCCCTGGTAAAAGAGCACTTGTAGTAGCATAGGTAGGTGACACCACCCTTTTAAAGCTAAGTTAGGGTTTATTTTGGCTTTGAGGAAGCACAGATCACTGCCCTCTGTGACATACATTGATGTAATGCCTCAGAGATGACAAATGGTCCATGTTTAACAGAAATAATTTATCTTCATAAACAGAATGATACAAAATGAGAGAAGGAAAAAAGCAAAAGGCATCAATGCAGAATACATGGAAAATAGGGCACTCTCTAAATGCCTTATCTAAAGCAGAAGTGTCAAACTCACCCTAGGCCAGACTCAGACCACTGGGGCTCTCCAGGTTTGTGGCGCCAGCAGCTGGTGTGGCAGGGCTGCATTTGAGTGGCAGCATAGGTCCAGGGGCCTGCCAGAGATGCCCACAGTCATTGGGTGCCACACTCCCCAACTTCTGGTAGCCCACTGGACTAGTGGCAGGCCAGATGGAATGGTTTCATGGGCTAAACCTGGCCCACAGCTCACGTATTTGACACCTGTAATCTAAAATAAAGGGATAAGACAGAAAAAAAACACAGAAAACTATTAAGTAAATTTAATAATTTTGCCATTAAGAACCTATTTTTTCTGATATTTGATATACCTCAATTTCTATACAGAATCAGATTTTATTTGAAGTGTGCCTCTACTAATGCCTGGTTTATTTTCATTCCATGATTTAGAAAAATGTGACAAAAGGTGTTTTTTGGGGAAAATACATAGCGGAGTATTTAAGTACCAGATAAAAATTTGCTCCCCTCTGGTTTTTCTTGTTGAAAATTATTCTGGAGAGTATTACCATATTTACTCAAATATAAGGCAAGGTTACCCCCTCCCTAATCAACATGGAGGAAAAAGCCCCTCGTTTTATATTTGCATACAAAAAACCCTCCTTATTAAATACACTTCCTATCATTAAATTGATGCCAGAAACAGTATGTGATCAGTAATGGAAGCCAACTATGAAGCTGATTAAATGCAGCCAACACTTGAGCAATACTATAAAACATATGGCCCACATTGGGCAAACATACCGATAAGAACTTTTTTTTTTTGTGTAGCTTTAAAGAATTGGGGTAGGTGTTCCCTCAACAGGGAACCAGCACCAGGCCTGGAGATACTGCAATACCAGGCTGGCAGCAGGACAGCCAGAAGCAGCCCTGACACCCTCTCCTGGTTGCCAAAAATGCTCGATCTTAGTCAAAAAAGCAAAGATGCTGATTTTTAAGGAAATTTTTTCTTGTTCCAAGCCAAATCGGCCAAATCAATTCCAAATCTGTGAGTCATTCAAGAGTCATATGTTGTCCTACTACTGGCAAACATCCTCCACCCGCACCTGGGGCTTGAGATGCTTCTAAAGCAAAGATGCTGATGGGAACCCACCATAGGTTTAGTGCAGCCCATCAAGATATAGCATGAATTGCACTCGGCCCCCCTTCAGCACCGACGCCTTTTTCAACTCATGGAGAACCACTACCCTGAATACATTTCAACTTCCTCTTTACTCCCACAGCTGAGCTACACCTTTTTTCCCATTTCCATGATTCCTATTTATTTACCAGCTTTACATGTTGAACAAATATCACCAAACATCTATGAAGATGAGAGGCTGTTGCCCCCTCTTGACCTGTTGTGACTGATGTAGCCTCACCCTCCATAAGGTGAAGCCAGACCAGCTAGCCCACACCACATCTTTCTATAATTTTTCAGATGATCCTAGGACTCAAGATAAGAACACCTGGTTCCAGTTGTGAGTAGGGGGCTAATTAGCACTTTGTGGCAGGGGTATCTGGAATACAAACATATATTGGGCTAGGAGTGGGGGTGGGGGTCACCATAGCTTGAAATGCTATTGATTCTGCAATGGACTATATGATAAATCATGAGCTTTTGATAAATCATATAGCCCAATGAACTATATGATAAATCATGAGCTTTTTGCTTTGGACTAATATCATGCATGCACAGCTGGTAATATATAAGCAGGTACAAAAGTGTTGTTCAAA